AGCCAATGAAATACAAAATGTAATAAAAAGCCTGCTGACAAAGAAAAGTCCAGGTCCTGATGGATTCATAGCTGAATTCTATAAAAATTTATAGAAGATATAATTCCTACACTCCTCAAACTCTTCAGTGAAATTGAAAAGGAAGCAGTCCTCCCAAAATCATTCCTCGAGGCAAGTATTATACTGATTCCAAAACCAGAGAAAGACACAACTAAAAAAGAGAACCACAGGCCAATCTCCCTCATGAACATAGATGCAAAAATCCTCAATAAAATCCTAGCAAACAGAATACAGCAAATCATCAAGATCATACACCATGACAAGGTAGGATTCATCCCAGGGATGCAAGGATGGCTCAATATTCGAAAATCTATATGTAATACACTATATCAATAGAGTGAAATCTAAAAACCACATGATCATCTCCATTGATGCAGAACAGGCTTCCAACAAAGTCCAACACTCATTCATGTTCAAAGTCCTACAAAAAAATTGGAATAGAAGGCCGCTACTTCAATTTGATAAAAGTCATCTATGACAACCCAACAGCTAATATAATCCTACATGGGGAAAAACTGAAATCTTTTACTCTCAGATTTAATACAAGACAAGGATGTCCTCTATCTCCCCTCCTATTCAACATAGTTTTGGAATCATTAGCTAGAGCCATTAGACAAGAGGGAGAAATAAAAGGAATAAGAAGAAGTTAAATTATCATTATTTGCAGATGACATGATACTTTACTTGGAAGACCCAAAAATTCCACCAAGAAGGTACTAGAATTGATACGCAAATTCAGTAGCATAGCAGGATACAAAGTCAATAGCATTCCTCTACAAAGATAACACACTGAGAGGGAAATTAGAGAAACAATACCTTTTACAATAGCACTGAGAAAAATGAAATACCTTGGAATTCACTTAACCAAAGAAGTCAAAGAACTTTTCAAGGAAAATTACAGTACTCTGAAAAAAGAGATCATAGAGGATTTCAGAAAATGGAATCCCCTGCTCCTGTACAGGAAGAACCAACATTGTGAAGATGGCCATACTCCCAAAATTGTTGTACAGATTAAATTCAATCCCTATCAAACTACCACCAATATACCTCACAGACCTAGAGAAATCATTCCTAAAATTTATTTGGAAACAGAAAAGACCTGGAATAGCAAAGGCAATCCTGGCCAACAAAGACAAGGAAGGAGGCATTACAATTCCTGACTTGAAATTATACTATAAAGCTACCGTGATAAAATCAAAATGGTATTGACAACAAAATAGACTTGAGGGGGGCGGGGAGATGGCTCAGTGGAATAAGCACTTCCCTGGCAAGTACAAAGGCCTGAGTTTAATCCCTGGTTCCACCAAAAAAAAAAAAAAAAAAAAAGTATAAACAATAATCTGTTATACATTAATGGTTTGTACCCTTTGGGCTGGTGAGATGGCTCAGTGGTCTAAAGCACCTACTTAGAACAAGCTAAGCAAAGCACAGGCACCGCAGTTCAATCCCCCAGCACCACATGCCAGCCAGCCC